CACAATATAAAAAAAAAATAAAAAAAAACTTGAAGGACCTAAGTAAAGTTTTCTTTTATGTTTTAACCACTTTGCGATTTGATCTCCTCGTATGAACTGCATCCCGACAACTCGCAACAAAGGTTTCCCCTATGAAAACTTCTTCATTTGACCGACATGATCTTTTTTTTTTCTCTTTGTTTCTTTTTGATTACCACATTATATTCCTCAATGACCTCTTTTCAAGTTCTGGAAATAAAACTTCTATTTATTTATTAGTTTATTATATATAATCTCGAAAAATTTCGCTGATGTGACTGGCGCACACACCTTGATCAAACTAATGAACATAGAAAATTTTTGGAAAACAATTTTTAACTTAGTTATTTTTTTTTAGTATCATTGGTCAAAAATACCCTATTCAATAAAATTCCTTACTTTTAATATATGAGTTCTAGAGCGCCCAATAATAACGGTCTGGAACAAAGATCAATCACAATTAAAAATATAAAAAATACTGAAGCCTAAGTGACATTTCTTTATTGTTTTAAACCACCCTTTGCCATTTGATTCTTGTGACTTAAAGCTTTCCCCCCTATGAAACTTTCGTTTTGACCGAATTTGATATGTTTTTTTCTTTTGTTTCTTTTTGATACCACAGTATTCTTTTTCCAATTGTTATTCTTTTTAAAGTTCTGTTTTCTTTTGTTTCTTTTTGATACACATATCTTTTTCAATTGACGTCTTTTTAAGTTCTGAGTAAACTCTATTTATTATCGTTTATTATATATTAACATTGAAATTTTTTTTTTCCTATGTGCGCCACTGCACACACGCCTTTTGATCAAACTAATGAAAATAGAAATTTTTTAAAAACAAAATATAATTAGTTTTTTTTTTAGTATATGGTCAGAAATACCCTTATTTCAATAAAATTCCTACTTTTAGTATATAAGTAGAGCAATGAACACGGTCTAAACAAGCCAATCACAATAAAAAAAATAAAAAAACTGAAGACCTAAGTAAAGTTTCTTTTATGTTTTAACCACTTTGCGATTTGATTCTTGTGACTAAAGGTTTCCCCTATTGAAACTTTCATTTGACCGAATGATTTTTTTTTTTCTCTTTTGTTTCTTTTTGATACACATATATCCTTTTCAATTGACCTCTTTCAAAGTTCTGAATAAACTCTATTTATTATAGTTTATTATATATTAATCTCGAAAAATTTTTTTCGTCTGTATGTGACTGCGCACACACCTTTGGATCAAACTAATGAACATAGAAATTTTTTGAAAACAATTTTAACTTAGTTATTTTTTTTTAGTATATGGTCAAAAATACCCTTATTTCAATAAAATTCCTACTTTTAATATATGAGTAGAGCAATAATAACGGTCTGAACAAGTCAATCACAATAAAAATATAAAAATACTGAAGGCCTAAGTGAAATTTCTTTTATTGTTTTAAAACCAACTTTGCCTTTTGATTCTTTGGACTAAAAAGTTTCCCCTATTGAAACTTTTCGTTTGACGGGAATGAATATTTTTTTTCTTTTGTTTCTTTGAATGATATTTTTTTTCTTTTGTTTCTTTTTGATACACATATATCTTTTTCAATTGATATCTTTTAAAGTTCCGAATAAACTCTATTTATTATATTATTATATATTAATCCCAAAAAAATTTTTTCCTCTGTACGTGACTATTCACACACCTTTAGATCAAACTAATGAAAATAGAAATTTTTTTAAAATAATTTTACTTGGTTATTTTTTTAGTATATGGTCAGAAATAGCCTTATTTCAATAAAATTCATACTTTTAGTATATGAGTAGAGCAATAAACAGGTTTAAACAAGTCCATCACAATAATAATAAAAAAAAAATTCTGAAGACCTATGTGAAGTCTTTTTTATGTTTTAACCACTTTGCCATTTGATACTTGTGATTAAAGGTTTTCCCTATTTAAACTTTCGTTTGACTGTATACGCAATGGCAGATCTATGTTATAGAAAGGGCTCGATTGATTTTTTTTTTCACACTATATAATTTTTTTCAATTTTGACCTCCTTTTTCCAAGTTCTTGAATAAACTCCATTTTATTATTTAGTTTATTTCATATATTAATCCCAAAAAAATTTTTATTAATCCCAAAAAAATTTTTTCCTCTGTATGCGACTGCACATACACCTTTCGATCAAACTAATGAAATAGAAATTTTTTGAAAACAATTTTTACTTAGTTATTTTTTTTTAGTATATGGTTAGAAATACTATTATTTCAATAAAATTCCTACTTTTAGTATATGAGTAGATCAATAAACACGGTCTAAACAAGTCAATGACAATAAAAATATAAAAATACTGAAGACCTAAGTGAAATTTCTTTTATGTTTTAACCACTTTGCCATTTGTTCTTGTGACTAAAAGTTTCCCCTATTGAAACTTTTAATCGAATGATATTTTTTTTCTTTTGTTTCTTTTTTGATACACATATATCTTTTTCAATTGATATCTTTTAAAGTTCCGAATAAACCTCTATATAATTATAGTTTTATTTATATATTAATCCCAAAAAATTTTTTTCCTCTGTACGTGACTGTTCACACACCCTTTTAAGATTCAAAACTAATTGAAATAGAAATTTTTTAAAATAATTTTACTTGGTTATTTTTTTCATGTAGATGGTCTAGAAATACCCTTATTTCAATAAAATTCCTACTTTTAGTATATGAGTAGAGCAATAAACAGGGGTTTAAACAAGTCCATCACAATAAAAAAAATAAAAATTTCTTGAAAACCTATGAAAGTTTTTTTTAATGTTTTAACCACTTTGCCTATTTGATACTTAGTGATTAAAAGTTTCCCTATTTAAAAACTTTCATTTTTTGACCGTACACGCCAATGCGCGGATCTATGTTATAGAAAGGGCCGATTTGATTTCTTTTTTTGACTACACATTATATTTTTTCAATTGACCTCTTTTAAGTTCTGAAATAAACTCTATTTTATTATAGTTTATTTTATATTTAATCCCAAAAAAATTTTTTTCCTCTGGTATGCCGACTGTACATACACCTTTAGATCAAACTAATGAAATAGAAAAAATTTTTTTTGAAAACAATTTTTTACTTAGTTATTTTTTTTAGTATGATGGTCAGGAAATTACTCTTATTTCAAATAAAATTCCTTTACTTTTAATATAATGAGTAGCAGCAATAATAACGGTCTGAACAAGTCAATCCCACAATAAAAAATATTAAAAACACTGAAGAGGCCTAAGGAAATTTCTTTTATGTTTTTAACCCACTTTGCCAATTTGATTATTGGATCTAAAAATTTCCCCTATTTGAAACTTTCGTTTGAACCGAATTGATATTTTTTTTCTTTCGGTTTCTTTTTTGATACACATAATTTCTTTTTCAATTGATATCTTTTAAAGTTACGAATAAAACTCTATTTTATTATAGGTTTATTATATATTAATCTCAAAAAATTTTTTCCTCCGTACGGTGACTGTTCACACACCTTTAGATTCAAAACTAATGAAAAATAGAAATTTTTTTTAAAATTAATTTTACTTGGTTATTTTTTTAGTATATGGTCAGAAATACTTTTTTTAGTATATGGTCAGAAATACCCTTATTTCAATAAAATTCCTACTTTTAGTATATGAGTAGAGCAATAAACAGGGTTTAAACAAGTCCATGACAATAAAAAAAAAAAAAAAAAATTCTGAAGACCTATGTGAAGTTTTTTTAATGTTTTAACCACTTTGCCATTTGATACTTGTGATTAAAGGTTTTCCCCATTTAAACTTTCGTTTGACTGTACACGCAATGGCAGATATATGTTATAGAAAGTGCTCGATTGATTTTTTTTTTTGATACACATATATATTTTTCAATTGACCTCTTTTCAAGTTCTGAATAAACTCCATTTATTATAGTTTATTTTATATTAATTCCAAAAAATTTTTTTCCTCTGTGTGCGACTGCACATACACCTTTAGATCAAACTAATGAAAAAGGAAAATTTTTTGAAATAACACATTTTTACTCTAGTTATTTTTTTTAGTATATGGTCAGAAATACCTCTATTTCAACTAAAATTTCACTTTTAATATATGAGCTAGAGCAAATAATCACGGGTCCTGAACAAGTCAATCACTAATAAAAAATATAAAAATGCTGAAGGCCTAAGTGAAATTTCTTTTATGTTTTAACACTTTGCCATTTATTCTGTGACTAAAAGTTCTCCCCTATTGAAACTTTGACCGGAATGATTATTGTTTTTTTCTTTTGTTTCTTTTGATACACATATATCTTTTTCAATTGGATATCTTTTTAAAGTTCCGAATAAACATCATATATTATTATAGTTTATTATATATTAATCCCAAAAAATTTTTTTTCCTCCGTACGTGGACTGTTCCACACCTTTAGGATAAAAAACTTAATGAAAAATAGAAATTTTTTGAAAACTAATTTTACTTTGGTTATTTTTTTTTAGTATAATGGGTCAGAAAAATAATTTTACTTGGTTATTTTTTTTAGTATATGGTCAGAAATACCCTTATTTCAATAAAATTCCTACTTTTAGTATATGAGTAGAGCAATAAACAGGATTTAAACAAGTCCATCACAATAAAAAAAATAAAAATTCTGAAGACCTATGTGAAGTTTTTTTAATGTTTTAACCACTTTGCCATTTGATACTTGTGATTAAAAGTTTTCCCTATATAAACTTTCGTTTGACCGTACACGCAATGCGGATCTATGTTATAGAAAGGGGTCGATTGATTTTTTTTTTCTTTTATTCTTTTTGATACGCATGTATCTTTTTCAATTGAGCTCTCTTAAAGTTTTGAATAAACTCTACTTATTATAGTTTATTATATATTAACCCTTAAAAATTGTTTTCCACTATACGCTACTGCGCACACACCTATAATATATTTCAACAATACCAAATAGTTCTAAATTTGTACTTGACAAGATGTAATTAAAATTAAACGTTACCTGCAAGCTACAGAAGCGAGGATTCCTCATCAAATCATGCATCAGGTTATCCTTGACACAGCTAGGGTTGATTCTGTTCTTGAACCCTAAAATGCCCATGACATAGATACCGGATTCCGATCTGTGACTCGCAATAGACCATGGACTCAGAGGTTCTTCTTCTCTCTCTATCGTCTTTTCATCTTCGCGTTCTATGCTTGTTCGGACAGGCTTAAGAGCTTGCATTCTGTTTCTAAGAAAATTTTCCATGAGGCTATTCTATATACCTGGTTGTTACTACTCTGAGTTTGTATATATA